AAACATCTCATAAGAAAACTATCTTGAGATTGGACTCATTAACGGTCATCAGTATATCATATGCAATGGCCACCCTACTGTATTTACCAAGTCATTTCCACAGCAAGTATTGCTATCAAATCATTTTGTCAGTAGACATGGTGCTCGCCGTTGTGTTGTTTGCAGTCTCAACAATTAACGAGTAAAACAATATTATTCAGCAGTTCAGTAGTAGTGAAAGAGGCATTCCTGTTTCTCACCCCTTCCACCCAACGTCCAATTAATTTATATAACGTTCACATATAAACTTCCTGTTTTAAATATATTGGTGACACGACGGAAATTAAGAATGTGGTTAGTTAATGACCCTGCCAGCACAATCCCTGGATTCTCCCGTGCTCTAGACGGGGTAATCCGGCGATCAAAATTTTTTGTTAACCAATTATTTCTAAAGAGCCCATGTTTCAAAATCTATTTTTTATCAATAAATTATTAATCACATTATCCTCTAACGAAAATATCAACTTGAGGTCCAAAATGAGGAAAAGGGGGCGTCTCGCCGCGAAAACATTTTTCAGGCGGTGGGGGGACGGGTTGAAGTCCCCGTCCTGAGCCGCTCCAAACTGGCGATCTTTTCCCGGACTGGACTAGGAACTCATCGGGTAAGACAGGCAATCAGGACTTTAGACCCCAAATTAATTGTTTTTTAGCGGATAATGTCATCCATAATTTATTGATGAAAAGTAGATCTTGAAAAATGGGCTCTGTACATATAATTTGTTGATCAAAAATTATTCATCCCCGGATTCCCCCGTATTCCCCTAGATTTCCCCGCATTCCCCCGGGCGCCATCCCCCGTCCAGTCCGGGGATTGTGCTGGCAGGAGAGGTTCATTAAAATATGTCTATATATATATAAATTTCGAGTTTCGTCAAACATATTGGTGTTTCGTTGGAATCATTACTTAATATATAAACAATTTTCGGGAAATAAGGATTACATTAGGTTTAAACTATTCACAGAAATCAGTTGAGTTTTAAAATAGATGCTTAAATAGGTTGTCCACCAAGATGTGAAAGTACCATCTACCGTTATCTTAAAGGCCCTGGTCTTCAGCCTATCTTGAAAAGCACCATCCGGTTAAGCGTAGTCTCTATGTGAATAAATTTCTCACTCTTATCAGAGTCAGTCATCGTTATGCTAACGGAATCATCCAAATCGGTGCATTCAAAATGCAAATAAACGACTCTGTAGGATATAATTAGCAATGAACTTTATTTGGTTAAACGGAAATCTTTAACTTACGCGATATTCACGTGGGCTCTAACTTCTGACCGTCCATTGCAAACTCATTATATTTAAATTGGTTTGTATATGTCCGTCCTCACCCTGAAATGCGTCCAATCCTAAAAATGAGCAACGATAAATAAATTTCATTATATGTGAATATTTTTTCAATGATATATAATTACATGAATCAATCGCAGTTTTCAATATAGCTCACAACCAAAAGTTATTTTACCTGGCCAAATATATTGATAGGAGACAAGATCGAATTTCGTCAAGTCGTTATGGATGCATGT